GGCGGGTCCGGGCTGGGGATTCGAACCCGCCACCTTAGGTGTACGTGGCTGGCGCCTTAGCCGGTTGAGCTATAGGCGTCGAGCCTGCTCATGTTTTTTTCCTTCCTCTTCTTTCTCTTCTCTCTTCCTCTTCTTAATTTTCCTTGTTTCTGAGCTTGGGTGACAGAGTGGCCCAAAAACAGCTGGCAAGGAATTGTCTCTAGTCTGCTTCTTGGAGCCCTCTGTCAATAATAATAATTATCTGCAGGTCATGGAGGCTGCACCAGAGAAACATCAGGGATCGAGAAAATGCAACCTCCTTTAGTAATTTTGATTGATGGTTGAGGAGTAAAAGAGGGTGTGCATGGGGGAGTATTCACCTAACTCAGCATTTTCTTTAGAAGTCTAAATCTCTACTTTTCTTTAAACAGAAAATTGGCCTACAATAAAGCAAGATACTTTAGAAGGAAAAAATCATGAACAAGGTTACAAAAAAATAATTTAATGGCACTTTGGCTGATAGTAGAGTTTCTTTTCTTTTTTTCAGATCTTACTACCAAGCGTGGAGTTGACATTGAGGATGGATTGATACACTGCTGCTCCACAGAGACTTTGACCGTCCAAAGCCAGAGTGAACCAGAGCACCATGAACCAGAGAGCTGTGAATCAGGTAGAAATTTGAATAGATCATTGAACTTATGAGGGGTTACCTGATACAATACATTCACATATACAATGTACTGTGAGTCTGCTTTCATGTTTAAAATTTGATTATTATACTCCTAGTTGTCTTTTTTTCTCTTATCTGCCCCTTTGTATTTATTACTAACATGAACTCAGAATCCTATCAGTATCAAAACTGAATCCTACATGGAGGAGCGTTACAAAGATTACAGAAGAGGAATGGCAGAAACAGCATTCATATTAAAAATAGAAATCTTAAATTTCTATAACTCAGTAACATTTTATAGCAGCATTAGCAATCTTGCAGACCTTTCTTACACTTTTAAAAAATTTTTTATCTCCCAAAGCAATCCTATAATTCTTTATTATTATTGTTAGTAATATTACCTTGCCATATTTGAAATCTCAGAATCATCTTTTTTTTTTTGAGACAGAACCTCTAGCTGTCACCCTGGGTAGAGTGCTATGATGTCACAGTTCACAGCAACCTCAAACTACTGGGCATAAGCAGTTCTCTTGGCTCAACCTTCCCAGGGGCTGGGACTACAGGTGCCTGCCACAACACCTAGCTTTTTTTTTTTGGTTGTAGTTGTCATTATTGTTTGGCAGGCCCCGGGCTAGATTCAAACCCACCAGCTCTGGTATATGTGGCTAGCCCCTTAGCTGCTTGAGCTACAGGCACCAAGCCTCAGAATCATCTTTTGTTCCAGTGCAATGCCCAATTGTGTTGCTTCTTAAATGTATTAATGATATAGTCATTTAGTTACATTTATAATATTAATATTTATAATATTAATCATCTATTTGGAAGTTTACTGCTTTATTTACGAAAGTGATAAAACCATACTGACCACTTAACAATAGGTGAGGATTAAGTTTTTAAGCCCACTGTATAAATATATAACTCTGTGATAGGCCATCTAGAAGCCAGACTCAGTAAGGTAAAGAAGGCCAGGTGCGGTCTCTCACATCTGTAATCCCAGCATTCTCTGAGGCTGGTGGATTATTTGAGCTCAGGAGTTTGAGAGCAGCCTGAGCAAGAGCAAGACCTTGTCTCTAAAAATTAGCCAGACATTATGGCAGGCACCTTTGGTCCTAGCTACTCAGAAGGCTGAAGAGGATTGCCTAAGCCCGAGAATTTGAGGTTGCTGTGAGCTATGACGTCATGGCACTCTACCAAGGGTGACAAAGTGAAACTCTGTCTCAAAAAAATAAAAGAATTACTACTCACAGGCTATTTGCTTAACATCATTAATATTTAGTATGGAAATAAAAATAGTACTATTTGGGGCAGTGCCCATAACTCAGCGGGCCACATACACTGAGGCTGGCAGGTTACAACCCAGCCCGGGCTAGCTAAAAAGCAATAATGACAACTGTAACAACAACAAAAAAATAGCTGGGCATTGTGGCAGGCGCCTGTAGTCCAGCTACTTGGGGAGGCTGAAGCAAGAGAATCGCTGAAGCCCAGGAGTTTGAGGTTGCTGTGAGCAATAACACCCTGGAACTCAATCCCAGGGCAACTAAGTCTGTTGCAAAAGAAAAAAAAAAGCATGTAGCAGAGTGCCAGATATTTTTTAGTAAGTAGTAATCACTATCATTAGTATCAGTATTAATTAAATAGCATTAATATTAGTAATACTTATATTAATATTAGTGCTTGTTTTGTCTGTTTTTTATTTTTATCATTATTACTGTCATTATAAAAAGCACCATTCCAAAACTACGTTGATGTTTATAGTGCAGATAATAATATTAAATAGGTGTCCTACTTCAGTTCCTCCATATGTTATGATTTCTTCCTGATATTTCACCAAAAGTTAATGAAACAGTAAACTCTTTTTTTTTTTTTAATTTAATTTAATTTTTTTAGGATTTTTTTTTTTTGGCTGGGGCCAGGTTTGAACCTGCCACCTCCAGTATATGGGGCTGATGCCCTACTTCTTGAGCCACAGGCACCACCTTAAACTCTTGATATCTAAGCAGAATGCCAGATGTTTTTTAGCATGCTACCTTGATATCTAAGATGATAGTCATCATGAAGTCTGAACAGCTATATCATCTTATTTAAGCTCATTATAATGAATTATAATTTCTTATTTAATAAATCTTAATATTACCTCTTCAAAATGTTATCAAATATATTGATTTAGTAATTTAAAATGGTCAAACAAAATAAGGGTTCCTTTTCCTACTAAATATTGGAATAACTTTAACTTCTGAATATTTTCAAAGGTTGAAATAAATCTTTTATGTAGCTTCTACTTTTATAATAGCTTGAACTTTTACAAATATTAGCATCTTGAAAATAAAATCCCAGATACAACTTCAAATTTTACTTTTATTTCTAACGTGTGAAAATGTTTCATAAAGAAATTCCATGTGGTTCTGTTTGTGTTTTTTTGTTTCTGTTATCCTGTAGACTGTTTCTATTTATTCTTTTATTTTTTTAAGTACCAAGAATTAAAGAGCCCAACAATCAATATTCAGTTACAGATTTGAAAAAGCTATTTTCTATTGAAGAAGAAAGCCTTGGGATTAATCTCCTAGAAGCAGACTGGAGGAAACAAACAGGACTAACTTTGGAACATCCGAATACTTATTTCTATCAGGATAATCTGTCTTCTAATGACACTAAAATGGAGATATTTTTGCCTAAAGAAGCACTTCAGTTAGAATGTAAGTACATAATAGTAAATATGACTTATGTGAACATTTAAAGCTTCAAAGGACAGGCTGATTCTCTTGCATGTGGTCTCTAACAAGCTGCATTAGCTGACTTCAAGTTAAAGCCAGTGCTCATTTACCATCCTGAAAATCCTAGGGCCCTGAAGAATTATGTTAAATATACTCTGCCTATGTTCTAGAACTAGAAAAACAAAGACTAGATGATAGCACATCCGTTTACATCATGGTTTACTGAATATTTTTAGCCCATTGTTGAAACCTACTCAACAGATGAGGATTAGCTTCTTATGGATGAGCAAAGAAAGTGGTTTTTTGAGATGGAATCTGCTCCTGGTGAAGATGTTGTGAACTTTGTTGTAAGTACAACCAAGGGTTTAGACTATAGGCAGTCCCTGGGTTATAAACAAGACTTTTTTTTTTTAGAGACAGAGTCTCACTTTTCTGCCTTCAGTAGAGTGTGTGGCATCACAGCTCACAGCAACCTCCAGCTCTTGAGCTTAAGGCGATTCTCTTGCCTCAGCCTCCCAAGTAGCTGGGACTACAGGCACCCGCCACAACACCCGGCTATTGTTTTTTGTTGCAGTTTGGCCAGGGCCGGGTTTGAGTCCGCCACCCTTGGTATATGGTACTGGTGCCCTACTGACTGAGCCACAGGTGCTGCCCTGCTGGTTTATTCTTAAGTTGAATGTAAGTTGGAACAGGTATATTTACCTATTACCTTTAATAGCCTCCATTCATAAATGCAAGTCTTATATCAGCTGGATGTTTGTAACTGGAGGACTTATTGTGGTAGCCCCTATTTATAAATGTGAGTTATACATAAGTCAGATGTTTATAACTTGGGAACTGCCTATATTCCATAAACTTACTTGGTAAAGCAGTGGCAACATTTGAGAGGATTGACTGCAATTTTTATAGCAGTTCTACTGTGGATAAGTGCTATTAAACAGTATTGCATGCTACAGGGAAATCTTTCATGTAAGGAAGAGTCCATCAATGCAGCACACTTCATTGTTGTCTTATTTTAAGAAACTGGCACATCCCCCCAACCTTCAACAACCAGTACCATGATCAGTCAGCAGCCATCAACATCAAGGCAAGATTCATCTAGCAAAAAGATTATAACTTGCTGAAGGCTCAAATGATTGTTAGCATTTTTTAACAATATTTTAAACTAAGCTATGCACATCATTATTTTAAACATAATGTTATTGCCTACTTAATAGACTGGAAAACCAAAAACTTTATGTGGCTCACTTTACTGCAATATTTTCTTTATTGTGATGGTCTGGAACCAAACCAGCTATATCTTTGGGTATTCCTTTAACAGTTTTGTTGAGATATAATTCATATAGCATACGCTTAAGCCATTTAAAATATACCATTCAATGGTGTTTAGTATGAGCATCGACTTGTGCAAACATCACCACAAACCATTTTAGAACACTTTTACCACCACAGAAAGAGACACTGTATCCATTAGCAGTCACTTCCTATTTTCCCAGTTGTGGAACCAGGAGTTTATTCTCTACCTCTATAGATTTGCATCTTGTGGGCATCTTACATAAAAGGAATCATACACTATGTGACCTTTTGTGACTGACTTTACTTAGAATCTTTTTAAGATTCATCCAGTGTTGTAGAACAGGCATATCTTATATAAAATATTCTTCAAATCTTTTGCCTGTTTTAAATTGGATTGCTTTTTAAATATTGAAGTTGAGAGTTCTTTATATATTTTGAATATAAAATCCTTTGCTAGTTATAGGTGCTACAGGCATTTTCTTCCAGGCTGTGGCTGGAAGTAACTATTATCTCTAAGGCCAAAGCTCCTTATATTCCTACCCGCAAGAGGGCTTTTCTAGAATTTCTTCTTTATCTGATACAGCTCCTATAGTAAGAGTTTCTAAATTTTTATTCTTTTTAATGATTTGGTTTCGTCAGAACAAAAATTGTTTTTTAAAAGCAGTAAACAAAGTACCCCTAATAATCAAATTATATTAATAAGAAACTACAAGTGGGTGGCACCTGTGGCTCAAGGAGTAGGGTGCTGGCCCCATATACCAGAGGCAGTGGGTTCAAACCCAGCCCCAGCCAAAAACTGCAAAAAAACCCCTTTTAACTACAGCTAAACTCTAACTACAACTCCCAGTACCTTCGTAGAACACTCATTTAGGCATAGAAGTCATTTGGTTATGACTTTTTGTTTTCTGTTTTCAGCACGGCTAGAACATAAAGGTAGTTCCTCATCTATTATGCTTATTAATGAGAAATCTACAAATGATCATTTATTACCTCCACAAAAGAGTCTGTCATTAACAAAAGAAATACCAGCTCTTTGTTTTTCTGATGAATATATCTCTGTTAAAAGACCAAGAAAAGAAGAAAAACCAAAGAATGATCAAGAACTAGTTAATGAAATGTTCCAAAAGAAAGAAAGTAAAGATCACTTTGACCTTGAGTGTACAGTACCATCTATGGACTCATCTTCTTCCTTAAAAATTAAACAAGCATCTGCTGAACATGGTAAAAAACAAAAGAATAATTTGGATCTTTTGAGTGACTTCATGATGCTAAGAAATAAACATAAGACTTGCATTTCAAGGACTGAAGTCACAGAGAGCAATAAAAAAGATGGTGGGTAATTTAGTAACATTTTGGCATAGATATGATAGACTAAAGGACTATGTATAATTTATTATAGATGGCAAAGAAATAAAGCTCTCTAGGTAAAATTATTTTTCATAGTAAAAGAAAATGTCATGGAGTAATGATAGTTTTTGTATATAGATATAGACATGGATATAGATATAGATATGTATTTTTTCAAAAATTTAAAAGTGCATTTGAATTTTTAACAAAAGCCACCATTTGTAAAATTTGCTTCCTAAAAGTTGGCCACAAAAATGCATAGTATTTCTAACTTTTATTGATCATTCTGCCATT